ACTTTCTCCACATCCTCTCCAACATAAGTCATCACTGGTGTTTCTAATTTTAGCCATTCTGGCAGGGGTAAGATGGTATCTCAAAGTTGTTTTGATTTGCATTTCCCTGATAGCTAAGGATGTGGAGCATTTTCTTAAGTGTCTTTCAGCCTTTTTGATTTCCTCCATTGAGAATTCTTTCTTCAGTTCTGTACCCCATTTTTTAATAGGGTTATTTGGTGTTTTGTTGACTAGTTTCTTGAGTTCTTTGTATATTTTGGAGATCAGCCCTTTGTCGGATATAGGATTAGTGAAAATCTTTTCCCAGTCAGTGGGCTGCCGTTTGGTCTTGTCAACTGTGTCCTTTGCCTTACAGAAGCTTCTAAGTTTGAAGAGGTCCCATTTATTAATTGTTTCTTTCAGTGTCTGTGCCCCTGGAGTTATGTTCAAGAAGCGGTCTCCTATACCAATTTGTTCAAGGGTACCTCCTACTTTCTCTTCTAAGAGGTTCAATGTGGCTGGATTGATGTTAAGGTCTTTGATCCATTTGGACTTGAGTTTTGTGCATGGCGACAGACATGGGTCTATCTGCAGTCTTCTACACACCCTCATCCAATTGTGCCAGCACCATTTGTTGAAGATGCTGTCTTTGCCCCATTGTATAATTTTAGCTGTTTTGTCGTAAATCAGGTGTTCATAGGTGTGTGGATTAATATCAGGATTTTCAATTCGATTCCATTGGTCTACCTGTCTATTTTTATGCCAATACCAGGCTGTTTTCAGAACTATAGCTCTGTAGTAGAGCTTAAAGTCAGGAATGGTGATGCCTCCTGAAGTTCTTTTATTGTATAGGGTTGTTTTGGCTATCCTGGGTCTTTTGTTTTTCCATATAAAGTTGATTATTATCCTTTCAAGGTCGGTGAAGAATTGTGGTGGGATTTTAATGGGGATTGCATTGAATCTGTAGATTGCTTTTGGCAAGATTGCCATTTTAACTATGTTTATCCTACCTAACCAAGAGCATGGGAGGTCTTTCCATTTTCTGGTATCTTCTTTAATTTCTTTCTTTAGAGTCACAAAGTTCTTATTATATAGATCTTTTACTTGTTTGGTAAACGTTACACCAAGATACTTTATGTTGCTTGTGGCTATTGTAAAGGGTGATGTTTCTCTGATTTCTTTCTCTGCCTCTTTGTCGTCTGAAAAAAATAGGGCTACTGATTTTTTTGAGTTTATCTTGTATCCTGCTAGTTTGCTGAAGGTGTTTATCAGCTGTAGGAGTTCCCTGGTAGAGTTTATTGGGTCGCTTATGTAAACTATCATATCATCTAAAGCAGGAGACTTTAAACTGTCTTCTTGTATTTGCAGTTTGTCCGTCACTTTTTTCTGTGTCCTGCAGACTGTCTGGCAGACTCTTTCACGAAGCAGGAACTCTGTAGCAATGTCTATCTTGAATCAGCAGTCACTTTCTGTGGATCCTGCATGTCCAGTTTATACATCAAAAAGTTAAACAGTCCAGACAAGAGCAGTATCTTGTCTAAATGGCTAGTCTTGCCATATTGGAAGCAAACTCCATTACGAGTTTCTTCAATGTCCATCTTCCTTTCTGACGCAGGTGGTGTTGCCAGGAGCATTTATGTCTCACTGTCAAGAAAAACCCTAAACCATTTTAAATGCCATATTCTGTAGGTCTTTGAAAGGTTTGAAGAATTCCTATCTCAAATACATCTCTGTGTATCTTAAAAAACTTAACTAACTTAACTCTAAGCTTTGACTATCATGGGTAATTATCTATAATCTGTACTACATTATACATTACATTTCTAAATGAGCTATATAAACACAATACCTAAACAAGAGGAGAAATATACATCTCACAAAATTGACATTAAATTGTATCAATAAATGAAAATCAATTCCAAAACAAAGTATTCATATGTATACCATAATCCCCTTTTTACCTTTAAAAAGAATTGGCTGTGATCATTAACCATTTATAACCAAGTCCATTTAAATGAAAACAAACATTTATAAACAATATTTGGGAATTTGGGCATCGTTCTTTCCAAACTACTTCCTGCTGATAGGGGGCGCTGTCATGAGGTACCTAAGAAGATGCAGAAATCCTGGCTGTAGTCTGCAAGGCTGCCTTGTTCAAGCTGTTTTGAATGTTGGATCACCAGGAATACTGTTCCAGACTACATTAGTCTGGAAGGAATCCACAGCTTTTCATTTTCTGTGGAAACAAAAATAGAAATCCTTTTCCCCAGTAACTTGTCCTTGAACTTAAATGTTGGAGTCAAAGCATTTTTAAAATATATAAATTGAATTAATCCAGCAGCATTTCCTTTATCAGTTGTTGTTATTTTCTCAGCAGTCAAACAATGCAGAGACAACACAATAGCATACAGTAACCAGATTCTCTCTGAGCTTTTCATCTTTTTTTTTTTCCAAGCCTACGTATTTTTTTAAAACACACTGTAAACTTTTAGCGCTTTTTCTTAATGTGAATCTGTCTTTACTGTAAATTTTTTTCTTTTTCTGGCCACGAGTCTTTTATCTGGTAAACAACAACATTGATAAAATGAAAGTCTTTGTTGTTTCTGCCACGGTTTATCAAAGATGGTGGTGGCTATTTTACCTCCAGCAATGAGAGCTGTGGTCACTGCCTTAGTCTACGGGCAGCAAGCAGCAGGTTGCCAGCTTGGAGATGTGGTCACTGCCATTGCCAGCTCTCATACACACCAATGAATTGTTAGCAGAGTTTCTTAAAAGCCTTGCAGTTTTTTTGCCGCTTATGCTGAGTCAGGAATCTTCCCTTAAAAGGAGCCGTGCAAATATCTGCTTGTCTCTCGCAAAACAGAGTTCAACTGAGAAAAATGCTGCTACCAAGAAACCTTGCTTGTCTCTGTTCTTTTGCTTCTAAAACCCTTTTTTAAGCTTTTGTTAAATTTTAAGTGGAAGTTCTTATTAACCACGTGGGCGCCATTTGTAACGTGTACGGGTTTTCCGCCCCGCCGCCTGGTCTTGTCCCGCTGCCGCGCCAGCCCCAAATAACACACAGAGACTCTGTATTTGATATTATACTGTTGGCCAGGTACTAGTTTCTTATCGGCTAGCTCTGCCTTAGTTATTAACCCATTTGTGTTAATCTATGTATTTCCACGTGGTCTTCTTACCTGGAGCCGGCTGCCGCATACTGCTCTCTCGGGCTCTCCTGGTGTCAGGAGTGGGATGTCTCTGTCATTTCTAGAGTTTATATATTATCCTTCTGTGGTCTTTGAAGGAGTTGAAGACAGATAGTAATGGTTATAGTTTTCATTAGTTAGGGTTAAAGATATGTTATGGTATAGACTTTAGACACACAAAGAATAGATGATGGAATATTTTCTTCAAATCTTGCTAAATGTTAATGGACTAAATATTGATAAGTGTGATTCTTGATAACTGTTGTATAATATATTTTGCTATGTTAATGTTAAAACCCTTTTCATTTAGGCAGAAAAGAGGAGATGATGGGAGATGTCATTCTGTATATGTTTCTCATACTGGGTAATAATAAAGACTGTTGGCCAATAGGAAAGGAAGATAGGAGGGACTAGGAGACAAGGAGGAAAGAGGAAGTAGTAAGGAGGGTCAAGATGGAGAGCCCGGAGAGAGCAGTATGCGGCAGCTGGCTCCGGGTAAGAAGACCACGTGGAAATACATAGATTAACACAAATGGGTTAATAACTAAGGCAGAGCTAGCCGATAAGAAACTAGTACCTGGCCAACAGTATAATATCAAATACAGAGTCTCTGTGTGTTATTTGGGGCTGGCGCGGCAGCGGGACCAGACCGGGCAGCGGGTAGAAAAACCGTACACGTTACACAATAGAAGTTTTAGGAAGCTTTTCCTTACATTAAAATCTAGTAACAAATTATGTCTCCTTGGTTTATGTTTTAATTTTTTACAATAGGAGATGTTATTATCTGGAAGATACTTTAAAATATAGTTTAAGTAACAAGCTGACAGATACTTAATGGTTAATGAATTTGCATCAATTCACTCAAAAAACCACTGATTTGAAATGGCTAACAATGAACTTATCTTGCTGGCTCATTGTCAAAAGTATATCATTCTGGTTTATGCTTCACCTCTAAGTCATAGATAACCACTTTAAGAAAGGCCATCTACCCTTCTTGCTCTACGCCTTAGATTTCTTTTCTCTTCTTTGTTCACCTGAGGCTGTTTTCTTCCTCAGTTTCATCCATGGCTTGTAAGCATGGGAACCTGACCTTCATTATGTCCAGTAGTCTTTGAGAAAAGTATTGTTTCTATGTAGAGAGTTCCTTTGATGGTTAGGCATGCTCAGTTGTCAATACTTAGACAGCTCAGGAATTTCCATCATCTCATAGATGAAAAAAGAACCAATTCACGCAAGTCATAGCAAGTGCTTAGTAGGGCTTGGAATCAGGTTATGATTTGTTGATTTGCTAGCCCATGCTTTTCTAGTTGTATTCCATTTCACTGGAATGCTTTTTAAAAATGTACTTCTCTGTGCCAGTTATATCTTTATCTGTAGCTATATAGAGGTACTCCCAATTTTAATTTTTTATGGCTGTTGTTTAATATTTAGATTTTTTAAATCCCTAATGATTTTTTAAATCCACTAAAATTGAAACTTTGGGTTTTGTTATTGAGTGGATATGTTGTTACTGTCTTTTTTGGGAGAATGCTTCTTTAGCTTTCAAGTTTTATTTATGGATAAAATTATTCCACTTAAAAATTGAACTCAGCAAATACACACTGAATATGCACAGTGTACTACTTAAAGATTAAACAGTGTCTTGGGGACACAACAATTAATGAGATACTTGGCCTGAAATAGTTCTTTAATATTCTAGGTCACCAGGAAAACATGTAACTAGTATCTGTAGTCACAGTCCCAGAATGACTCTTCCAGTGGCCAAGGCCTTATTGTACATTTCATTTAACCAAGTGTGTTAAATTCAAATTCTAAATATAGAATTTTTCCTAGGTATGCCTTGCAATAGCTCATTATTCCCAGCCAACAGACCTCCAGCTACTCTTTGCATTTGAATATGTTGGGAAAAAAATACCACAATTCAGGTAAATATGAAAATACTAAATATTGTGACTAACTTTACATGTGTCCATTTTATTTGTATGTTTGTTAGAATTTTAGTGAGTGTAGGGTTATTGGCTTCACAGCTGCTAAGAAATAAACATTATGCACTAAAAGAGCTTACTGTTTGTCAATCTCTTGGAAGTGACCGGGCTGCCATAAGCCCTTGCTGTAGGCACTGGTTTATATTTTATGTTAAGTATATCTCCTGTTATTTTTATTTGGTAGCTCAAATTTTAAAACTGGCAGAAAGTCAAAAGATACCTGAAATCCACAAAATTTCTGGCAAAATATGATTTCATATTAAAACTGAAATGGTTAAAACCTTTTAGAGAACTTTGTTTAGATTTTCAAAATACTGACTTTCTGTTCTGAATATGACCAGTAGAAAGAAGATGAGCATTCATCAAAAAATAGATGTACTCTGGACAGTTTTGTGGTAATTAGTTTTGTTCATGTATGTGTTAGCTATGACATCATCAAGAAAAGACTTGGATTTGATCATGTTATTCTGTTTTAAATAGTGTGTTTTAGATAATGTCATTCCTAACACAGAGACCATGTATCTCCTGTTAGCCTCCCTGTGGGTTAGTGACTGGACAGTGACAGTTGCCAGAAGTACATATTCTACCACTGCTCAGGGAAGAAAAATTAATGAGAGATCCATTTGTCCCAGCAAGAGCTAGGGCAGTGGTTCTCAACCTGTGGGCAAACCTCTGTCTCCAAAAATATTTACATTATGACCCATAGCAGTAGCAAAATTATAATTATGCAGTAGCAGTGAGGATAATTTTATGGTTGGGGGGCTCACCGAAACAGGAGGAACTATGTTAAATTATCGAAGCATTAGGAAGGTTGAGGACCACTGCCCTAGAGCTTATAGATTTTCTATTGAACTGAAACTTTCTTTACATGTCTTACCTTACAATACAAGGTAGTAATTTGCATAACTTATGATGCAAGCACACAGTTCACTGTGCTGCCATGGCATATAAATGTGGCATTAGTGCTTGGGACAGACATGCTTTAAGAACATCTTCATGACTTTGAAAGGTACTTAGCAACACTAGAATGATATATGAAAATAACATCTCAGAACAGCTTCATTTTCTACTTCATAGAAATTGGATAGCACAATATTTGTGTCTTATTTTTCTTATCCATATGTACAGTAATTATAATTTAGTCTTGAACAGCACAGTTATTTTTGAAGTTGATATTTTTATGTACATTCACTCTGTATCTGGAAACAAAACATAAATCCTAAATGTCAGCCACAGAATGGTGATCACAAGCTCATTAGTGAGATACCCTGTTTCAAGACAGCAGCTAGTATGAAAATTTCCAGTCAGCCTTTGAAGCCTACTTCAGTTTGCTGTGATACAACCCATTTCTTCATGCTGCTTTTTTTCCTGATAGGTTTGGTGACTCAGTTAGTACTTTTGCAAAAACATGATAGCTTGGGCTCACCACATACAGTTTACTGTACTAGTGGTGACCTGACACCTCCATGAGTTACTTTTTAGATCCTTTCTCCTTCATCATGTTTTTTTTTTATAAACCAGTCCTGCTTCTCTTCTTGTAACTGGCTGATGCAATTGGATGATTAGTAATTACTTAAAACATTTAGGAGCATTTTTAATAGTACATCCTTCTAACTCCTCCTCCTTCAGAAAATTCTTCATAAGCATAGTTCTGGCCAAAGTTTTACTCAGTTTCCTCATAGGGTAACATCCTTTAATATCCTTCCATGCTGTTACAGAAGCATAAAGTGCATCCCTAAGATCAAAAGAAGCCTGAAATTTGCATACAGTGCAGTCACAGTTCATTAATTTGATGCTCAGTTACCTTCTCTTGAACCTCTGGATGGCACCTTGATCATTTGCTGGATTAAAGAAGTCCCCTTTTCAGGCAGGTAGATGGTGAAGGTGTTTCCACAAATAGGATATGAAGTTGGAGACTGTCCCCTGCAGTTGTCTGGAAAAGACTCTCCTACCGTCTTAGACAGTGTGAGGTTTTCTTTTGTGCCCAGTATCAGATGAGAGAGCCATTTCTGAAAGGACCAGTAGCCATCCACATACTTCAGTGAGCATCTTGATGTACAGGGCAGTGTGTAATTCTACAGGCCTCAGAACAGCTGTTGCACACAAACACCTAAAAATGTTACTGTAATTCAGAGCTGTCCCATTAAGACAATGTACATTTTTAGTGAACTTCATTAATTTATCATTTTTAGTAATATAGTCCTTAAATTAGTATCTTAGAATTAATTTTAAATGCTTATTTGAAAAAATTGTAGAATGCAACTATTTGGAATAGTATAGGAATTGTCAACTTATTGCTTGGGCACTTCTAGAGTTTTCAGTGTGACTATAAATGATGCTAGCTGTCAAAGCAGCTTTGTTGGCTCCCTCACAGGCTGTCAGGGTCAGAGTCTCTGCTAAGAACAACCTCATTATTTTGAAGTTATCCTCTTTACCCTTCTCTGTGACTTCTAATTACTACCGTACCATACACTTGTAGGCTTTCTTTGCATGTATTGACCATTCTTACTGTCTTTCTTGTTACATGAGATAATTCTGAGTGCCAGTGGAGGGATCAATTACATACAACCTCTAAAATAATGTCACATTCTAGGACTTGCTGTCTAAAATACCATAGGAAATGCCAGGGTCAAGAATGCCTAGTGTCTAGGTCCATTTAGTTTGTTGAAGAGCTCTATGTAAAACCTGTCAGGTAGCCATCAGGAAATCCAGGTCTCCTAAGATGACACACTTTGACCAGCTTGCTGCTGCAATCCTTCCGAGTGGTCCATGGATAGAGCGTGCCTTTGGGGCTTTTTAGGAAGCACTAGAATTTGTAGTCTGTGCCTCAGATTACTTACCTATTGCATAGGTAAGTATTGCATAAGATTACTTATCTATTGCATAATGAACTCTCTCCAAAGAAGACACAGAGCCAATGACAATGTAGTCAGTCCCAGCTGTTAAGAAACCAACAAGAGACACCTGCAAAATAGCACACATACATAGGACCCCATAGTGTTCTCAGTTCATGTTCAGAAAAATCTGTATTCATAAGTAGGTCTAGAGAAATAATCTCAAATAGTAGAGCATTCTCAACATGGTTTCAGAAATTTAGAAAACTAAACATGAACTCAGTTGGGGGATTTGCTGCCAAAGTGCTAACCCCCACAAATGAGTGTGTTCTTTATATCCATATTCTGTGATGGCTGTCTTGTTAAGTGGCCAAAGCCTGTAGTACAGTGCTGAGTACTGCAGTGCTGGCTAGAAGGCACCAGTACTGAGTACTGCAGTGCTAGATAGAAGGCACTGGTCTTTGGTCTTAATGTTTGGTCTAATGCTGTTTGCTATAGGTTCTGGGAAAATACCCTACATCAAATAGGGGAAAAATGTCTTAGAAAGAAAGGAAGAAAGAAAGAAAGAGGTATTGAGCCCTACTGAAAGTTTTTCTGTACTTATTGACTTATCATATGGGGTTTTTCCTTTACATTTAGCAATATGATGAGTTGCTTAATGCTCTGGAACTCTGTATTGATGAGTCACCTGAGTGTGAATCGGCCAGCATGCTTTCTAGGTGTTATGTTCTATAGAGAAAGAACTGGAGTGGAGTGGAATGTGAGGATATAAGCTAATTAGCATTATAACTTTTGTTAAACCCTGTTAAAATCAGACTCACTGCTTATTCTAAAGTAGAGCATTGTAAGGAGTAAAATTCAGAATCCCTAACACAACACGTCAGACCGTTGGTGGTCTAGACTAGTGCTCTCCAGTGATGGAAGTATCCCTTCTTTTGCACTGTCATGTGGGCTTTCCACCAGCTCCATGTGGCTATTAAGCACTTGAAAAGTCCTTAGTATACCTGAATGACTGACACTAGTTTTTATTTAATTTTTCTTTTAGTTTATATATAAATGGCCACTGTGGCTGGTGAGTGGTCCCATTCTTGAGCAGCACAGATATAGTCTAGCCTTGTGTAATCTTCTACCACGTCTGGCTTTCCTGCTCTAGTTGTATGGATTCCTTGATGCTTTACCATCATCCCACTTCTGCTCAGCATGCTCACCTCCTCCTTACCATCTACCTGGCAACTTTTGACACTTTCCTCAGGACTCTGTTCAGATGTTATCAAGTCAGGATAGCTGGCTTGCCCATCCCTTTCTGTATCATTATTGTACATAGTTTATTCAGTGCTCATAGTTTTAATACCCACTCCCTACTGTCTTGCTACAGCTTTCAGGATAACAGATAGAAAACTTACCTTTCTTTCTCGGGCCTTAATAGTTCATCTAAGTTCTCCAAAAGTATCTGTCTTATACCAGGAGTTAATGATGAACTTTTGAGAATTAACCATTGCAAATGGGGCAGCATGTTCATGTGATAATTATGCATTTTTACATGATATAGGAAAGAAAGAAAGTTGGAAACAATGGTAAATAAACAATTACTCTATGGCCCAAAGAAGCCCTTGAGATTGGACTCTTTGAGAAAGGGAGCATCACTGAAAGGTTGGGGGAGAAGCCAGTATCATGAAACCATTCTTCTCTATGAAAACACCATTGGTTTTGGTAGTGTAGAATCAGGTCAGGAATGTCAGCCTAGGAACTGCCACTTAAGCCTGTGGAAGTGAGACCCTGGGCCAAGAAGGTTATGTCATCACCCCAAGTCACATCAGGCTGGCTGGCACAGCTCCTCTCCTGTTTTTCGGGTGCTTCCAGACAGTAGGTATGCTCTTGTCTTTGGAAACATTCCTTGCTAAGGAAATGAAGTCTAGACCCTCCTCCAGCCTCACCACATGGGGCAGTGCTGTAGCCTCTGTCAGCTTCTCAAGTTGAGTAGCCATACAGTGAACAGATGTGAACATGATGCCAGAAAAAAACATTTTGAGGACTTGAAAACTGTTGGATAAATCTGTGAATTTCCTACCCTAGTATGAAGAAAGTAAGCAGATGACAGACTTACCCCTCAGTTTGCAACAGTGAGATAATTGAGGCTCAGAAATAGTTTCAAAATGGAAGATAACTAAAAAATAAGGGCAGTAAATGAAGAGCGAATATGGGCAGCAGGCATCGTTCATTAGATAAGGAAGTGCCTAGTAGGAAAAAGAACAGTGGCACAGCAGCATTAGCAGCCAGAGGGATGGCTTCAAAGTCTTCAGAATCAAGCTCAGAGGGGATGAAGCAGTAGAAGAACAGGAAAGGGAAAGATGTCTGTACAGTGGGCAAGGACAGGGGAATTGTGATGTACAGATTTTAGAGACATGACAGATAAGGCAGGAGGTCACACCTCCGGGTATGCATGTGACAGACGATAGAGCAAGCAAATAGTTCAACAAAACTAATATTGCTTTTCCCATAGCCAGCAAAGTTAATGGGGTGTCCTCAGGAGGTGGAGGAGTATGGAGTGGAGCTGGCAGTGGCAGCAGCCAGAGAACGCCACTGTTTGAAACTTACTCAGACTGGGACAGAGAGATCAAGAGGACAGGTGCTTCTGGATGGAGAGTTTGCTCTATCAATGAGGGTTACATGATATCAACTTGGTAAGTCTTATTTTAACAATTGTGCATGTATGCATTTGTGCACACAGACACACACACCTGGAAAAGAATAACCCAACTCTATTTCCATTGATAAGCTTACCAGTTATGGTTAATACCTGTTTTAAATAGGGTTTAAAGGATATTTTATTTTGAAGTTAAAGACTTTGTAATATAAACACATGGTTCATGGCATTTAAAAGATATTGACAGTAATTTTTTTATTATTGTTGGTAATCTAGTGAGTATCTGTTTGCAGTTTTCTTACAAGAATGCTATACACTGAATTTGAGTGATGTGTCCCATAGGCCTTTTAACATATAGTGTTCTTATTCTACCTCTGTTATACTTACGCATTTACAGATGAAACCAAGTTGTTCTGTGTAATTTCCCACATTCTAAGTATTACTGGTGTATCTCTCTGTTGTCCTTTAACATGGTCTTCTGCATACTGAGGAATAACTGGATCCAGACTCTGTATTTGCAAGAATGCTTCATTAGGTGGTGCTCTGTCCCCTGTGCATCCCATCTAGACACTGGCTTGCTTGCCATGTGTGCTCTTTCTCAATCTCTGGCTAGTGACTGCATCTGTGTGTGTACTTACAGTGCTGACCGAATGACACTATCTTTATTTCATTGAGTTCAGTTTTTAGAATAGTGAGCTGGTGCCCTAGAATTCTTTAAAAGTGACCTGGAATTTTTGTTTCTTTAACATAGTTTAGTATTGGTGAAGTTTTGAGAATGCTTTGAAACCATTGAAGTCTCCATTGGCTTGTTTATAATCAGCTTTCTTGGGGGCAAAATTGTGCTATCATGTTATCACTGGTTGATTCTCTACAAGGAACTTCTTGGTGTGTAGGTCTGGGAGAGGTATTTGGATCATGTAGTTTTCATCTTCTGCTTCCCTTTGGATTTCACCTTTCCAATCATCTTGTGCTAGTGTATGCCCTGAGAAGCACATGGCACATCCTGCCTCTGTCTACCTGCTGGGCTGTGTGGTGGAAAGAAAAGAAGAGAAAAGGGAATTTTTAAAGAGTGGTGAGCTTCCCCACCAGTAACTGGGTGAAGAGGCTACAAGAGGAAGACAAGGAGGGCCACGAGCATCTTTGTAGATTCACAGGTTGTCTTATGCACTGCTGTTGCTGTGAAGAGACATCATGACCAGGGCAACTATTATAAGAGAAAACATTGCTTACACAGGTTTAGTCCATTGTTGTCATGGTGGGGAGCATGGCAGCATGCAGGCAGGCACCAGAGCAATAGTTGAGAGCTACATCCTGATCTGTAGGCAGACAGGGCACGTTGGCCCTAGTGTGGGCTTTTTGAAGCCTCAGAGCCCACCCAGGGACACACTTCCTCCAACAAAGCCACACCTCCTAATCTTTCTCAAATAGTGCCACTCTCTGATGACTATTTATGGGGTACACCAGAGTACATCATTGTGTTTTAAGTATGGGACTCATCTTCCTTTTTAAAAAATCACTTGTGGTGGAGTGTATGTGTGCATGTAGAAACCAGAGAGCAATGGCAGGTATCATTCCCCAGACTTTATGCACCATTTTATTTCAAGATAGAGTATGTTAGTGGCTTAGGCTAGGCTGGCTGGCCAGAGAGCTCCAGGAATCTACTTTCCTCTGCCTCCCCATCCTGGGGAATGGAAGCAGGTGCCACCAAGCCCAGCTTTGTACATGGGTTCTGGGGTCAAACTCAGGTCCTCATGCTTCAGTGGTAGAAGGGTTACCAACTGAGTTATCTTCCAGCTCCTGTTTGAAATTAAGTTCTTAATTTAAAAATAGTGGGTTTCATAATGTTATTTTCTGACATATGTGCCATTATATTTTGTTCTGATTTATCCTCAGCTCCCTAATTCCTCTCCTGTTCCTTCTGTCTCCCTTGATGATCTTCCTCCCACAAGTACTACCCTGCTTTCATGGCGGATGTGTTCCATTACCTTTTCCCTCTTCCCCACTCCCTTTCCTCCCCTCTCATGGTCCCTTCCTAGTTTTGTGACCTTCACAAATATACTCACTCCTCATAAATTTAAATCTGTGTTCAACATATGAAAGAAAATGCAGTACTTTTTATGTCTGGCTTATGTCACTGAACAGAATGATTTACAGCTCCATCATCTTATTCAAATGTCTTGATTTCATTTTCCTTACTGCTGAATAAAATTCAACTGTATATATGGATCACTTTTTAATTCTCTAGTCATTGGCTGATGAGCAGTATCCTAGTTAGGGTTACTACTGCTGTGATAAAACACCATGACCATAAGCAACTTGGGATAAAGGGTTTATTTTGCTTACACTTCCATAACACTATTCATCATTGAAGAAAGTCAGGGCAAGAGCTCAAACAGGGCAGAAACCTGGAGGCTGAGGCCATGGACCAGCATTGTTTGCTGGCTTACTCTTCATGTAAGTTTGCTTAGTCTCTTTCTCCTTCCTTCCTTCCTTTCTTCCTTCCTTCTTTCCTTCCTTTTTTCCTTCCTTCCTCCCTCCATTTTTTTTTTAAGATTTATTTATTTATACAGTGTTCTGCCTGCAGGCCAGAAGAGGTCCCCAGATCTCATTGTACATGGTTGTGAGCCACCATGTGGTTTCTGGGAATTGAACTCAGGACCTCTGGAAGATGAACCAGTGCTCTTAAACATTGAGCCATCTCTCCATCCCTCTGTCTGCTTTTTTATAGCATCTAGGACTACCATCCCAGGAGTGGCACTGCCCACTGCCTACAGTGAGTGGGTCTTCCCACAGGCCGATCTGGTAGGGCATTTTCTAACTGAGGTTAAGCTATTGTGAATAGAGCAGCAGTGAGCATAGTGAGACAGGACTCACATGTGACATCTTTCTCTCCTATCTAGTCTTCCAGAATACTTTGTTGTGCCAAGTTCATTAGCAGACCAAGACCTGAAGATCTTTTCCCATTCTTTGTTGGAAGAAGGATGCCAGTAAGTGACTTCTGTTGGATGTCATTGATGCTAATGTCCACTGTTTCTGTCCAGTTAAGTGAGGATTCTGCCTGTCTCCTAGTTCTGGTGCTGGAGCCACTCTAACGGCAGTGCTCTTGTGCGAATGGCCCTCATCAAAGATGTGCTGCAGCAGAGGAAGATTGACCAGAGGTAAGGAAGGAAGGAAGCATGGTGCTCAGTGCACTCGGAAGCATAAACAAAAGCAGTCAAGGGAGGAGGCGTGGTGCTCAGTGCACTGGGAATCATAAACAAGAACAGTCAATGCCTTGAGAATCAGAAATAGTTGGTATCACACCACATTCTATACAAGGACTATCATTCTGAAAAGAATGAGTACACTAAATTCATCTTTGTTTGGTAAAACACTTGTCTTTAACATCCTTTCAAAGTACTGTGATTTCCACTTGAGGATAAATCAAACTTTCAAATTCATGTGTCTTATTTAGGTTTATGAAGTTAGAATAGTTCAGAAAATGGTTTTAATGGGTTCACACAAACAAGTTTGGCAATGTCTGCTAAAGTCAGCACTGACCTCCCTGTGACTGGCAGGAAGCTTCTCTTGGGTTCACTCATAGCCACAGGCTCACAGTTGACCTGGGTTCCCACCGTTAACCACAGTTCTCAATGCCCTCAGTCCTCAGCTACTACCCTTGCTGAGGGTTCCTTGCTGGCCCTGTGCCATCCACAGCCTGTTCTGTTCTCTCTAAACATCATCTGAGGTCACTGAAGGCCATGTCTTGAGTAGCCAGCACATTAATATTATCTCTAGCATGATATCTTCCAGGCCCTTCAAACTTTGAATCTAATGCTGAACTCAAGGATGTGGCCGCCATACTTCCCCAGCCTGATGACTTCCTGACATATTGTCTCCTTAGCTTTACCTCTAGGGTGTTTCTCTTTTCTGTGTCACATTTTATTGACTCCAGGCACCTAAAAACTACCCGGCCTTTTCACTGCCCTTCACAGTCCTGACAGACATTAAACAGGGCTCTTTCCTCCTGGGTCACCTTCTTCATGTTCCTCCTGAACACTCTGTACTTGACTGGCTTGGCCCTCATCCTTCTTTCTTTTCTGAGGCACCTTATATGGAGGTCAGGCCTTGCTGTTAGGCATTCTCTAGGTTTGCTTCACAGTTTTCATTTGATTTATATGTGATGGAGGTCTAATTACTTGCCTGTCTTCCTCACTATAGGGTGACACCATTGTATAATTAGCTCAGGAAGTATAAAATACTTGTAAATGTTCCGTCTTGACATGGATTTTGTTTTTACTAGGATTTGTAATGCGATAACTAAAAGTCATCCACAGAGAAGTGACGTATACAAGTTAGATCTGGATAAAACCTTGCCCAGTATCCAAGAAGTACAAGCGGCATTTGTAAAACTTAAGCAACTGTGTGTAAATGGTAATGACATTTTTATTTTGTGTACATATATAGTGAATGGGAATGAAGAATTACATGGGAACTATCAAGAAAAATGATGTTCCTTAAAAATATAGTAGACACATCTAAGGAGAAACCCAACATCTAGAAAATGAAGTTTAAACATCTTGGTTTTGGAGAGAAAAAACCCAAACCTGCTAAATGTCCTCCGAATTGTAAAAGATATTGACTATCTTAAAGAAGCATTTACTGCAGACAGAGATTCCTGAGATCAATGCACAAGCTTAGATTTTTAGATTAGTGGCTCAGCTCAGCATGAGTCATGTGTAACTTTAGAGTTCTAATTTAAGCAGACTACATGGTTACACTGCTCTGGACAGGATGTCCTATGAAGACATCTTTGGAGTAGAGTGGATCCTCTTGAAGAGAAACCCTGTGTTTCCTGAGCATGGGGAGAAGTGGCTTTTTTTGTGCCATGTCATTGATGGGCTGGCATTGTTGGGGTAAGAGAACTTAGCAGGAGTGGGGCCTTGAATAGCTGGGTACACCCTGGGCAGCGTAGCGTTAGACTCCAGGGCTGTATGCACACAGAGGTGACACTTTCCACTGTGAAGTGGAGAGAAATGGGGAGAGATGGGACTTGGAGCAACCATGCTCTAAAGTGGGCCCTACTCTAGGTATTGCTTTCTAGGGAGCCAGAACAGAGTTTTAGGGGCACTTGCCAGGATTTCCTTGGAAAGGCCAGAAGATAGAAGACAGGACTTAGGGGAGTGTTTTCTTCTGCTTTCTTATAGAACTGTAATATGTTACCTTGGTGCAGTGGCTCATACCTGTGACCCCAGCATTTGTGAGGTTAAAGCAAGAGGACCGAGTTGAGTCCAGTCTGGGCTTTGTGGCAAGACACTGTCTTAAAAACAAACAAGAACCAGAACATGTCTGCCTAAGTGTTTACTGAATTGAAAATGTGTACTGCTTCCTCAAAGCTAATTGTTAAATATGTGTGGGATATAGATTAACTCTTGTGTTGGAGTATAACAGCTGTATGTATGTATTACAGAGCCTTTTGAAGAAACTGAAGAGAAATGGCTGTCCTCACTGGAAAGTACTCGGTGGTTAGAATACATCAGGTTTGTTTAACTTTTTATTTTGAAATAATTGTAAGCTCACATGAAGTAAAAGATACTACAGAGAGCCATGTGCCCTTCACCTAGCCCCTCTGGGGAACTTCTTATCTAACTGGAGTGCAGCATTCAAACCAGAAAAGCAACATTGCTATAACTTGTAGATATCATTAGCACCTATTACAGTTCTGCCTTTCCCACAATCTTCCCCTAATCCATGCCCTTGTGTAGCTTTGTAGACCAGGCTAGCCTTGAACTCACATAGATACACCTGCCTTAGAGTCCCAAGTGCTGGGATTAAAGGTGTGTGCTACCACTGCCCAACCAGCCTCTTAAGAAAAAAAAAAAGTTTTTAATGATTTATTTATTTTTATTTTATGTGCATTGGTGTTTTGCCTGCATGTCTGTGTGAGGGTGTCAGATCCCCCAAAACTGGAACTATAGACAGTTGTGAACCATTCTGGGAATTGAATCCGGGTCCTCTGGAAGAGTTGCCACTGCTCTTAACCACTGAGCCATCTCTCTAGCCCCCAGCCTCTTTTAAAAAACGTACTATTGATGAATTTTCTGATATTCCATAAAGAATCGTTCCTGTTAATACTAGAGACATTCATACAAGTTCAAAGTATGTATGTATATAGTGGATGCTGAGTTTTGCTTGATTTTAAACACAAGATATATTTATGCAGGTGGACAGGATGTCTCAGGAGGCAAAGGCATATATATGTGGTAGAAATTTGATATTTAACAGTGTCTTCCCTCTTTCTTTTCAGGGCTTTCCTTCAACACTCAGCAGAACTTGTGTACATACTAGATAGCCAACATCTCTCTGTAGTCCTGCAAGGTAATTAAAACAATTCTTGAGAGTCCAGGGCAGCCCACTGTGTCTGTTGGCTGTTTACACGACCGTAACTTGCACACTGCTGACAGAATAGAAGACAGACTCTCCCTCTTGATAAACCCTTACTCTTTTCTGGGAGGTGGGTCCCTCCCCGACTGGACTGATACTTGATGCCAATTTCTGCAAGGCATCCTCTCAGATCTTTGCTATTTTTTTTTTTTAAATTCAGACTAATTTGTTTTAGCTTAAATGCCTACTGACTCATACTAAATTGTGACTCCAGAAATATAATTTGTGATCGAGAATTCAGATGAAATCACCAATAATTTTGTCCTTTTTTCAAATTAATTAAATTTTTTTCTTTCATTTTACATTTTGACCTTAGTTTCCTCTCCCTCCTCTTTAACAGTGAGTGTTCTCATCTTATTGGGACTCAGCCCCAGTTTCTCTATGCACAAAAGGCTTTGGAAGTACTGAGCCTGTTTCACTAACACTTTTAAAGTTTTTAAACCATTAATTGAGATCTGATACACATTGAGTATACTGATAACTTAGTAAATAGAGAGCCAAGGTTTTTTTTTTTTTTTTTTTTTTTTTATTGTGGTCACACACATGCATTGTCACCCTTGTGGAGAGCCAAGGACAGCCTCTAGTGTTGGCCCTTGCCTTTCACCTTGGACAGGGCTCCTCTGTTGATAGGCAAGCAGACAAGCTGGCCTGCTGGCTACTGAGCCCTCCAGTCTCTGACTGTCTCCCAGCAGGGGTGCTCAGGGATTACAGGTGTTTGTACTATCTTATCAGCTTTTACTCAGATTCCAGTGACCTGAACTTGCATCATCAGGTCTATACAGCAAGACCTTTGCCCACTGAGCCATCTCCCCAGTCCCCAAGAGTCATGCATTAGAAAATTTTCATCACCCCCAAAAGGTTTTTTTTGAGGGGGGAAGAGAGTTGAGACAGGGTCTCACTATGTAGTCCTGGCTGGCTTGTAACTTGCTGTGTAGACCAGGCTGGTCTTGAACTCCCACAGCTGTCTTAGTACCAAATCACCAGGTTACTTTTTAGATAGGCCTTTTCTAGATAGTTCATAGAATTGGGATCATATAGTATGTGATCTTTTGTCTATGCCTTCTTTCATTTACCATGGTGTTTATGAGGTTGATACATGTCATATGTAGTTTTAGAAGTTGTATCCCATTGTTTGTAAATCAGTTTATCTACTTACATGTTGGTGGACATTAACTTGTTTCCATATGGGGGCTGTCACATAGCATGCTGCTGTCAATATTCACATAAATGTTTTTGGAAGACATGGTTTTAAGTTGGTGGGTTATGTGGCATATCCATGTCCATCTTGTAAGGAATAGCCAAACTGTGCTTTGGAGTAGCTGTGTTCGTGGGGATCACAATTTGTGCCCCAAGTCAGGTCCCACCCCCTGTCTTCAACGAGCCAATAAAGAGTCAAATTAAAAATGGAGAGTAGAAAAAGGGGGATTTAATCAGTGTAGGCACATTGGAAAAGGGGACAAAGAAATCCAGTGACCCCTCAAGTCCATCTGACTGGGTCCTAACTTGAGACCCAAGTTAAATAGAGGACCAAGGATGTGCACACCTATGCAGTCCTGGTCAAGGTGTGGTCCCATCCAGCACTGACCCATCACTGCCTAGGCTTCAGTCTCATTCTATACAGTGGCTGACAAGTGTTAAAACTGTGTGAAGTCTCTTCCTGAGATGCAAGCTCACCCTCTGGTAGTACCATTTCCAGCTTAAGATTCTTGAGGTAGGGAAATTCTCATTTCCTTGGGGTTCATTGTTTTAACAGTCGGATAGTCAGATGGAGACACATATGTCTCTTTAAAATAGCTTTATTTCTGCCAGACTAGTTACAGCTGGATCACATTTTCTTTCTCAGCACAGATGAGGATGCTGATTCATCTCCATCCTTGCCATTACTGTCATTTATGTTATGTTCACTCAGGCACAGGTGAAGTGATAGTAGTTCATTGTGCTTTTCCTTTACATTTCTCTAATGTATTTCTTCTCTCTGTTGAGTTCTAAAGCTACAGGATTTATATTTTCTCTTTCTGTGTCCTGTCTGTCCATCCTTTTGTCTTTTGAAACACTAATTTAAAAACTTTGAAGCATAACATCTATTTTTTATAGTTCATGTTTTTATGTCATATTTAAGAACTGTTTGCCTAACTCAAGGTCACAAGGACATTTCCCTGTGTTTTGTTATATAGAACTGTTACAGTTTTAACTCTTAGAATTTAGGTCTTCAATCTATTTTGAATGACTTTGTGTGTGTATATGAGAGAGGGGGCGGTAAGAAGTTGAATTATGTCTTTTGCATGTGGATATTAAATAGCCCCAGCATCTATGTCTCTTTTATGTGGGTATTAAATAGACCCAGTATCATTTGTTGAAAAGACTTCATTTCTCCATTAAATTGCCTTGGTGCTTTTATGAAAAATTACTCATAAATGCCCAAAGTTTGATTTTACTATTATATTCCATTGAGCTTATGGTTCCTCAGTAAGCTTTAAAATTGAGACGCTTAACTATTCAGCTTGGTCTTTGAGGTTGTTCTAGTTATTCTGGATTATTGATATTCCTGTGTAATTTCTAGGGTTCAAAACAAAAAGGCCTACTGGAATGTTTATATGAGTATGCTGAATCCATAGATCAGTTTAGGGAGAATGTCATCTGTATGAAATTAGCCAAACTGAAATGAATGTCTCCCCATTTATTCTGATCTTCCTTCATTCGTCAGCAGTGGTTCCAGACTATACAAGTTTACACTGATTTATTAAATCTCCTGAATACATTTAAGGTATTCTTAGATATCTGTTTCTGTAGTTACAGTGTTTTCTTAACTTCATTTCCAGGCTTACTGTTTACTTATTGTTATACATTGAGTTCTTGTGATCTTACTTATTCTACTGGTCTTTTTCCTGGATTCCCTTAAATTTTTTTTCTTGTGTTTATGTGGTGTATGTATGCACATGTGTGTGGAGGCTAGAGATCAACATTAGATGTCATTTTCAATCACTCTTCACCTCACCTTTTGACATAGTGTCTTTCATTGAACCTGGAGCTCATAGATTTGGCTGGGCCAAATTAGCCAGTGAGCTCCAGGAATACATCTCTTTCTACCTACCCAGCACTGAGCTAATAGACACCCACTCAGCTTTTATGTGGGTGCTATGGATCTGAACTCAGGTTTTTATGCTTGCATGGCAAACATTTACCAACTAAGCCATCTATTCCTCATCCTTGATCTTTAATATACAGGGATTACATTGTTGACAGCTATAGTTTTTAATCTTTTTGATACTGTTGCCATTTATTTCTTTTCCTTGCCTAATTGTTCTGACTCAAGCCTCTTGTACAGTGTGCTATAGAAGTATTGAGAACAGACATCCTTGTCTCTTTCCTAATTTTAAGGAGAAAAGTATTCAGTCTTTTATCATTAAGGATGGTATTAGTTGTAGGGGTTGGGGAGATGTCTCTGATAAAGTTCCCTTTATTTACTAGTTTGCTAAGAGTTTTATTAGGAATAAATATAGAAGTTTGCCTCCAGATGATATTACTGACTTTTATTTTATTAATACGTTCAATAATGTATTAATTGTCAAATGCTAAAACAGTCCTGCACTCTATGGACTAATTCATAGATTTTCATAGTAATTTGTTATATTAGTATTTTGTTAATGACTATTACATCTATAATTTCAAAGGCTGTCAGTAGATAGTTTTCTTATCATTTTGCCTGGCTTTTATTTATCAAGGTAATTCTAGACTCGTTGAAAAGGACAATGGTTGAGTGGCAAGATACACAACCCTGATATTAGCTCTTGGGATACAGAGATAGGTGGACCATTGCCACCCTTGGTTTCATTGCAAGTTTGAGGCCAGTATAAATTACAATGAGACCTGTCTCAAAATGCAAAAAATCTGAAAAGAAAAGGAAAATAGCTATAAAGGGTGGGAAGGAAATGCTTGCCACCTTTTCATGTAATGGGACAATTCCATTCTATTGTTCACTTCTGAGTCACTGCCATGTGAAGTAAGTTGTCAGTGGAAAGATTGTGTTTTATTTAATATCCTTGACAAAACAGTAGTAGAATGTATTCTAGAAAGATGTTGTATCTCAAACGATACAACTGTGAGCAATGAACTGTATCTGCAAATAGTGACATATGAAAATCTGTCTAGAGTCAATGCTTCAGTGTGTAATGACATCTTCAGTGTAATGCAATAAATTAGGATAAAATATTGTAATCTGTTTTACTCACTGATGACTTTCTTTCTTTCTTTCTTTATTTTGGTTTATATGGATCTCATAGTTGAGAGTTGCTGGAACCCACTAAAATTCTCTTACATAGACTATCTAGAAGGCAATTTAAGTATATAATGTTGAGTTACCTAACTTACAATCAGGGTTTCTCTTGGTCATCATTTTCTTTCTATTTTATTGACAGAGGAGGAGGGAAGAGACTTGAGTTGTCTGGTAGCTTCCCTTGTTCAAGTGATGATGGATCCGTATTTCAGGACAATTACTGGATTTCAGAGCCTGATACAGAAGGAGTGGGTCATGGTAGGATACCAGTTCCTAGACAGATGCAACCACTTGAAGAGGTCAGAGAAAGAGGTAACCAGTCTCACTGCCTTACTAGACTTCTCTTAAAACAGCATATTTGTGTGTATGTGTGTGTATGAGAGAGAGAGAGAGAGAGAGAGAGAGAGAGAGAGAGAGAGACTAGGTGCAGGTCAGAGGACAACTTTCAGAAGTCAGTTCTCTTCTATCATGAGATGTTAGGGTAAAACTCAGGTCTTCATGTTCATGTGGTAAGTGCATTTACCCACTGAGCCATTTCATAGGACCCAAATTAGCACCTTTCAAATATACATGGGATAAAAAATTTGCCATTGTGAAAATGATAAGAGCCTCTTTCTTCAATCTTTCAGTATTGATTTAGCATGTCCTAGCTTTGTTAGTTAAAGGCTAATAGATTGGACTCCACATTGATATAAGATGACCATAGAGGCAGAGATGACCCCTGACCCCTGACCTCTAGCATCTGAGAGAACAGAGCCAGAGCAACTCCCTTCAAGCTGTTTGCCTGTAGGCTGTCTTGCAGTTTATCTCCTTTTCTCTGTAGGATGTCTTGCAGTTTATTTCCTTATCTCTGGGCCTTAGACACATGAGTTGGGTATTTAGTTACTCAGCCTTATAGCCCAGTTGTCAGAAAATCAAAACCTAGTTTGTCTGCACCATAGTGAGTATTTCAACTGAAAGAACATCATGGTCAGTGTTTCTAGGCAACAGCCTGATCCACCCCCATGCTTAATCCTAATGTAGGAGCACATGATATAGGAAAAAAAACAAGGCAACTTGACCCTACAAAACATAAGCCCACAACAGCTGATCCAACGATATTGGCATGGATGACAGAGACTTCAAAAGAATAATCAAAGAAGAGCTGACTGGACACCAGGATGTATTAAAAGACATTACAAATAAATAGCTGAGTGTGATTTTAAAAAGACAATTCAGGATCTGAAAGAGGAATTCAAGCGTCTCAAATCAAATTGAACTTTAGGAAATGAAACAATAAATTGAATAAACTTTGTTGGAAGCTTCACCAGTGGATTGTATCAAGTGAAGACAGATTATCGGGATATGAAAACATGGTAGATAAATTAGGAGACACAGTAAGCTTTGAAAAGTAGAAAGTAGGAATAGCACATACAGTATTGGGGGATATAATTTTAAAAAGACAATTTAAAAGTCATGGACATAGAAGAAGGAAAAGAGGTATAAGTCAAAGACTATTGAGTAAAATAATAGCAGAAATTTCCCAAATTTTGAGAGATGGTCATCCAGATACAGGATATTAAGCACTTTCGACTTAAAACAAGACTTCCAGATAGCATAATACAGCTTTTAAAAGTGTGTGTGTGTGTGTGTGTGTGTGTGTGTGTCTGCGTGTATGTGTGTGTGTGTCTGTGTCTGTATCTGTATGAGTATGAATGCAGAGTCTATGGTGGCCAGAAAAGAGCATTAGACTCTTCTGGAGCTGGAATTGTAAAGCCACTTGATGGTTCTGAGAATTAAACTTGGGTCCTGGACGAGCGGTGATGGTGCACACCTTTAATCCCAGCACTTGGGAGGCAGAGGCAGGTGGATCCCTGTGAGTTCAAGAAGCAGCCTGATTTACAAGAGCTAGTTCCAGGACAGCCTCCAAAAGAGAAGCTCTGTCTCGAAAAATCAAAAAACTTGGGTCCTGTGCCAGAGCAGTGTCCAGTTTATTTCTGTGATAAACACCATAACCAAAAGCAACTTGGGGAAGAAAGGGTTTATACCATCTTATACTTCCAGAGAATAGTTGATCACTGAGGGAAGTCAGTGCTGCTTATTGGCCTGCTTCTCATGGTTTCCTCAGCTTGTTTTCTTTTTCTTGTTGGTTTGAGACAGCATTTCTTATGTAGCTTTGGCTGCCTGAAACTTGTTCTTTAGACCAGGCTGGCCTTGAATTTATAGATTCACCTGCCTCTGTCTCCCTAGTGCTGGGGGGGGGGGGTTAAAGGTGTGTGCCACCACTGCCTTGCTCAGCTTGCTTTCTTATACAGCCAAGGACCAACTGCCTAAGGGTGGGACTGCCCACAGTGGGCTGGGCCCACCTATTTTGATGATTAAGCTTAAAAAAAAAAAAAAAAAAAAAAAAAAAAAAAGTGCTCTACAGACATCCCCCATAGGCCAGTCTAATGGAGATAGTTGCTCAAATGAGGTTTTTCCCAGGTGACTCTAGTTTCTGTCAGGTTAAGGAAAATAACCAGAACAAACAGCAAATGCTCTTAATCACTGAGTCATCACTCTAGTGCCATCATAATATATTTTAAAACACTAAATGAACGGAAAAATGAAAAACTATTGAAGGTGGCAGGATAAAAATGTCAAGTCACATAGAAAAATAAGCTCGTCATCATAACAGTGGATTTCTAAGTAGAAACTCTAAAGTCCAGGCAGCCTAAAATGATGTATTTTAAGCCCTGAAATAAAAAAATAAACAAAAAACCCAAAGCTATCAACCTAGGTTATTGTTACCAGAAAAATTATGCTTCATAATCAAAGGAGAAATAAAGACCATAGGAAATAAAGATCATAAGGTAAAATTCATTAAGCAGTCCCTGCAGGGAATACTGAATGGAATCCTAGAGAAAGAGAAACACAACCAGAAACAGTAAGCCCTACTAGAAGATTTGATAAGCAGGTGGAGAAGGAATCAAGGATTACAACAGGTGACAGGAGTTGGTTCATAGTTTTGAATAGTAACTCTAAACCTTAATGATTTTAAGTCTCTAATTGAAAGGGACAGACTATCAAGAGTGTTGGATTAAAAACGAGATTCCTCCCCTAAAAAAAACAAGATCCAAGTGTTTGTTGCCTGTAATAAACATACCTCACTGGCAAAGACAAAATGTAGTCTGAAAGTGGAAGGCTAGAAAAACATATTTCAAGAAAATTAAATCCTAAAGTAAGCAAGAGTAGCTGTCTGTATTCACATCCAACAAAGCAGACTTCAAAATTAGTTAGAAGACATAAAGTCACTTCATTGATAAAGGAAACAGTTCATCAAAACACCTAACACTTATAAACTGTTTCTAGCATGCATCAGATGCTAGAAACATTACTGGACATAATTGATCCCAATACAACAATTATGGATGGCATCAATACACCTTGTAGACTTGCATGTTTGAATACTTGGTTCCTGGATGACAAATTTATTTGGTTGGCTTTTATGGAAACTTTAGGAGGTAGATCCTCACTAAGGTAGGCCTTGAGGTTTATAACCTGAGCCTACCTCTTGCACTTCCTGGTCCATGGGACAAGCCACTGCCAAGCTTCTGCTACCATCCACTTCATAGCATCATCCCCACCATAACAGAGTTTATCCCTCAAACTGTCAACCAAAATAAATGTCCTGTGGGTTGCTTCTCATCATGTATTTGGTCACAGCAATAAGAAAACTAAGTAACAGAAAATTGGTAGCAATAAGGGGAGCCATTGCTGGCATAAACCTGAAAATTTCTAGGCCTTTGGAACTGATGTTCTGAAGGAACTTTGAAGAGTTTGGAGGTTCAATATAACATAGCCCCAGAACTCTCTAACACAATTTAATTCGAGTATGAGTGGGAAAGACAAGAGAAGTGTAGAAACATGTAGAGTGCAGACCATGCTCACGGGGTTCCAAAAGGGAACAAGGACTAGAAGCTGTTCATGGAATAGTCTGTCAGTCTAGCTGTGCTATGCTCAGGTCCTGAAAACTTGAGTGAGGCAGAACTCAAAAGTAATAGGCTAACTGGTTTAGCAGAGGAAATTTGAGGACAGCAGAGTACTCAGGCTGCAGAATGGTTATAGTTCACTCTGTTTACCCAGATTTACAGCGAGGGGAGCAGAAAGTGGAGCAGGATGACATTGAGTGTATTTCTGGCAAGGGAAGGAGTGTGAATCTGATTAAAGTTGTAGACAGAGATGTGCCACTGATGGGGAAAGGGGCTTGAACCAGATTAAAGTTGGTAACAGGGTCACTGCAGAATGGCTGACTCTTAAAACGACTAATGTCATGAAGGGGAAACCTTGAACTTTAAAAAACAGTAAAAAGTGCTTTGGGGGCAAGGCCTTGCCCAATGCACATTCATTTTTAAGAATTTCTGTCCATCAGAGCACCCTGCTGACAGACGGTCCTAGGGGTCAGTGGCAAGGAACTCAAAAGTGTAACCAAAATACCTGACTTACAGCTGTGCTCTACCTTGAGCTATCAGAGAACTTGGCATTGTTCACATGGTTACAGGCATGCAGAATGCAAGACAGGGGGGTGGGCTTTCACCAATTTTTGATAAAACCATCATTTTTTTTTATCGGAAACTGTTTCCTATGTGGACATCTGGATATGTTATGCCTGAAGCTGTGAAGGTGAAACCTAAGTTGCAGTGGGGACCCCAAGATATTTGAGATGCCAACAAGCTGCTGGCACTGTATGGAACTGGGCTGAGGGAGAGACCATATGTGTTAGAGGCTATAAACTCCCATGAGCACACATGACCTGTCACAAACCCCAAGTTCCAGGGTTAGAGCCACTTCCCCATGCTGGTTTTCAACCTTGCTTTGGTGTCATTTTATTTGTTTGTTTTGCTTTGCCTTGCTTCATTCCTTCCTTTTGAGTGGGAATGTTTACTCTGTACCAGTCTATGTTAGAGGTAACTTATTCTCTAATTCCATAGGGGCTTACCAGTAGAAGTTTACTGGGAGTCTCAAAAGAGACAGGGCTTTTAAATTTCTGAATAAGGTTAAAGCTGTGAGACTAGGGGACTTAGGGAGAGACTAATGCATTTTGCACCGAGCAGGTCATGAGCCTATGGGCATCATTGGTAGAGTATTGTGTTTGAATGTGAATGTTTTCGGTTCATATGTTTGGGCACTTGGTCCAGCTAAATAGCTGTTTCGGTAGGCTTTGGGATGTTTGGGTAGAACCTTGCTATCGGAAGCGACATACTAGTGTTAAGCTTTGTGAGTCATAGCCTAGCACTACTTTCTGTCTGTTCCCTGTGGCTACCATGCTACCATGCTTTTCCCACTGTAGACTATACTCCTTCAGACTGTTAGCCAAAACAAGCCTTTCCTTCCATAGACGACTTCTTATCAGGTGTTTGAATTTAGTGATGAACTGACACACCTTCTCCTGAATCCATAAGTCATTCAGAAAAATAAAAACAAAGCCAGCACAATTGAACTGAATCACAGAGCAAATGCATTTAATGGACATCTGCAGGGTATTCTACTTAACAGTTGCAGGATACACATCAGCAGCTCATGGAAGTTTCTCCAGAATAGATCCTATTTTAGGACATAGCATTCTTAGCAAATGAAAACCAAAATGGAAGAAGCAATGATAGTGGTGCCATGATACCTAACTAAAAGTCATACTGTAGAGCAAAAGAAACAAAACCAGCATTGGGCTGGCACAAAAGGACATGCAGTCCAATATGAAAGAAACAGCCAACTAAGAGATAAGGCCATACAACTGCAGCTATGAACTAAAAGCATACACTGGGGAAAAGACAGTCTCTTTAGTAAATGGTTTCTGGGAAAACAAGATTATCCATATTTAGAAGACTGGAATTTGATTCCTTCCTCTGCCTGAAAAAAAAAAATCAATTCAAAATGAATCAAAGACCTTATAATGTAGGAATATTGAATCCACTAGAGGAAAGCATTCAGGAAGTACAGGCACAGGCAAGCAGTACAGATTTGGATGAGGGGTAGAGGCAACTCTTACACAGTGCTGGTGGGTATGTAAATTAGTGAAGCCCTCACAGGAATCAGTATGGAGGTGGCAGCTTACAGTTCAGAGGTTCAGTCCATTGTCATGGTGGGGAGCCGTTCAGTCAGACGTAGTGTTGGCTACATCTTGATCAGAAGGCATCAGGAAGTAGTCTCAGACACTGGGAAGTAGCCTGGGCATAGGAAACCTCAAAGCCCACCCCCTCAGTGACACACTTCCTACAACAAAGCCACACTTAATAGTGCCACTCCCTATGAGATTATGGAAGTAAGTTACATTCAAATTCACAAGGTTTCTAAAAATCTAAAATAGGAACTACCTTATGATCCAGCTGTATACTGGAAGGGTCAAAAGTCACATACAAAAAGCATTGCCCATGTTCATTGGGAAGTCAGCTTAGGTATCCAGCGCATGTATACAAGACATAGTACAGTAACATAAAAAGGAAGGACCTGTAGTGCAACTGGAGGTCATGATCAAAATAAGCCAGACTTGGGAAGACAGATCACGTATTTTCTCTTAGTGGGGGAATTACTACTAGGAAATAGGGAGGGGATAAGTATAAGAGGGCAGGTAGTAACAGTCAACATATACATGTATGAAAATGCCATTATGCTGTCCCCTATTGTATAGAATTAAATGCTAAGCATATCCTAGCTAACTAAAATCACCTTTGGAGTTTCACAGTTCCTGGTAATAGACCATAGCAGTTAGAAACTGAGATTTTGAGAGGAATGTCTTTGTGGCCTCCTGGGCTCCCCGTTTTGCTGCAGAAGGCCCTGCAAATGCTTCTGGAGCCAGGCAGCCAGGTTGACTCAGTCAGTGTTGTTTCAGAAAGTACCCTTGATTAGTGGTAGAGCATGCAAATGAGTTGCCAGCAGCTGCTGCCCAGGAGTATAACCTCGGGCTGATGCCAAGCGGTTTTATGAAACTTGGGGAATTTCCTGGATGGTGAACATGCTGGTCAACCAGAAGTTACAGGGTTTGGCTGAGCATGTTGTGTTGCTCTATAGAACCACTTGCAGGATGTTTAAACACATGGTTTGCTTCTCCACAAAGTGTGCTTTTACCACACTTGCTAAGCTAAGAAGTTTTATTTTTTATTTTTTTTTTTTTTGAGACAGGGTTTCTCTGTGTATCCCTGGCTGTCTTGGAACTAACTCTGTAGACCAGGCTGGCCTTAAACTCACAGAGATCTGCCTGCCTTTGCCTCCCAAGTGCTGGAATTAAAGGCGTGCACCAATGCCGCCTTGCACTTTTTTTTTTTTTTCTTTTAAATTAAATGTGTGTCTTGACATAGATAGGTTTAATTTGTTCACATGGTCTTAGTTTAGCTCAGCCAAGTATTTGAGGCTTAGGTATTTTCTTGTTAGTCTCTTTAGTATCAATAATACTAAAGAATGCATGTGACAGCCAGAGGCCAGCATTAAATAATTCCTTTTTCTGTCTGTATATGCCAGTCTCCTTTATTCTTGCTATTCTTGGATACCACATGGCAGCTGTTAGAGCAATATCCAGCTGCCTTCGAATTCTCGAGACATACTTAGCAGTGCTGTGTGACAGTACCCGGATCTCACTGTTCGGCACATTCCTGTTCAACTCTCCTCATCAGCGGGTGAAGCAGAGCACGGTAAGTGACATGCTGGCTGTGACTACTACTTGTATATATGGGCATATACATTTTGTGTGTAGTGTGTATTAAGCATGTTCTCTCGTGTGTGTAGGTGTATGTGAATGTGAAGGCCTGAAGTTGATGTCTGGTGTCTTCCTCTGTCACTTTCCACTCTTGTGTTCTTGAAACAAATCTTTTACAGAACCTAGAGCTGCCCATTCTGGTTAGCTAGCTAGCTAGCCACCTTGCCACAGGAATTATCTGTGTCTCCCGAGTTTTGGGATCACAGAAATTGCTACCATCCTGCCCTGCTTTTACATGGTTCTAGGGTTCTAGGTTTCCAAATTCTGGTCCCCATGCCTGCACAGCCAGTGCTTTATCCACTGAGCCATCTCTCCAGTGCTGCCCCCTTCACAACTTTGAAATATAATTGAAGTACAGTTAACTGCATGTTTAAAATATGTGACATAAATTTTTACCTTTCAAAATAATTTCAGAATGCATTAAATATTCTAATTTTGTTTTTATTAATGAAGATTTTGTTTTCCTCTGCAAATTGCTTATAATAAATGTGTTTAAGGGTATCAGTTACTTTAACCACATTAAATTAAGTAGACCTTTGGATTTTTTCTTTTGGTTGAGTATCAGATACAGGGCCTTGTATATGCTACTGAGTTTGAGCCCTGGCTCAGTACCTCTCCATCGACGTTTTATTTTTCCTTTCCACTTTGAGACAATGTGTGTTAGTTACTTAGACAGGCCTTGACCTGGCTGTCCTAAGCCTCAGCTTCCTGCATAGCTGGGCTCACAGTACTGAGCTGGCTGCCTCACTTGGACTTCTGGGTTACTCCTCACGCATCTGAGTTGGTAATCAATAGCTGAAGACATTTATTTCCTGATAAGTCAGTAGGATAAAAGCTCTCTTTCTACTGTTTCTTACGGAGTTTTGCATCTCCTTTGCCTGCTACATCTCTGCAGAGAAAAGAGATGCAGGTTCAATATTCCCAGTAAGCCAAGATGTGGAAATACTTAGATTAATAGAAAAATGTGTTATTAAGTCAGAGCTAGCCAATAAGAAACCACAGCCAACGTCCAACAGTTTTATAATTAATATAGCATCTGCATGTTTCTTTGGGGCTGTGAAGGGTGGCAGGACCTGCCACGCCAGAGATTTAATCACAACAAAATGGCACCCAACATGGGGCATGAACCCACAACCCTGAGACTGACACCAGATAATTCAGGTAGTAAGATTTTGGGATTCACTACAGGCTGATTGAGGTTTATTTGGGGAGAATTCATTTACACAAGAAATAGTCGACTGCTACCGGTTCCCCGCTCCAAGGATCTCCTCTGATCCTCTCTTTCTTTGACCTGGAAGTGAGTAAGTACATCCAGGTCGGTACCCAGACCTAGACTTCACTGGTCATGCCCACACCTGTCCCCTCACCCCAATGGGTGTGGTCAGTACAACAGATGTGATAGGGTGGATATCTCGCTACAAGCAGCCACTATGGGTAGATTGCATCTGTTCGTAGAGCTGGAGGAAGAAGACTCAGGACTAAGAATATGGAGCCATTCTGGAGACAAGCCTACCACTGGTGTGAATCTTCCTGGGAAGAGCTCAGAAATGCAGCAGGGATGGTAGAGGGAAGCCTGAGGGTAGCTTCTGTGGCCTTGAGGGATCATCCACTCTGACCATCAGCTTTAGCTCTGAGGCCCCAGTCTAGGTTGTGTGGCCTCACAGCAGGAATTCTTAATTCTATTCCAGTCTAGAAAATTCTAGGTCTGTGGTTCTCTTAGAAATAGGCTTGAAAAACAAGTTCCACATCCGCAAATTGGGTCCATCATGTAAAAAGTAGTGCCTCTGGCAATGGAGTACTACTCAGCAGTAAAATGGAAAAAAAAAGGACATCATGGAATTTGTTCTTGTAGGGAAATGGATGGAACTAGAAAAAAACTTGTTCTGGGTAAGGTAAACCCAGGCCCAGAAAGACAAACACAGTATGTACTGACACATAAGTGGATATTAGTTGTAAAGCAAAAGACAACTAGACTAAAGTCCACAACTCCAGAGAGGATAGGTAACAAGGAGGGTCCAAGAGGGAAACATATGGATCTCCCTGGGAAGGGAAAATATAAGAGATCTCCTGGGTAAACTGGGGGGTGAATATGAGGGAATAGGAACATGAGGGCTCATGTTGGGTGGGTTGAGGCCTGATAGAGGGGGAAGAGTAATGAAAGATGTCTTGATAGGAGGGCCAATTTGAAGTTAGGGAGAAACCTGGTACCAGAGAAACTGCAGGAACTCACAAGGATGGCCCCAGCCAAGACTCCTAGCAATAGTGGAGAGGGTGCTTGAACTGGCCTTCTCTTGTAGTTAGATTAGTGACTACTCTAATTGTCGTCAGAGTCTTCATCCTTAGCGCTTGAGCTGGCTTTTGGGGAACCTATTCCCCATGCTAGGTTGCCTTGTCCAGCCAGCCTTGATGCAAGGGAAAAGCTTCATCTTGAACCTTTCTGGATGGAGATGGAGGAGGAGTGGATGAGGGGGCAGTAGATGGGAGGTGGGGGAGGGGAAGAGGAGAGGGAGGAGAAACTGTGGTCAGTATGTAAAATAAATGAAAAAATTTAATACAAAGCAAAAAAGCAGTAGTGCCTTTGGTCAACTATGACATATACATGTGTCCAGGTATGAGAGACAAAGAGCACTAGTCAGGCTATTTTAGCTAGGAGTGAGGAGCATCCTAGAGAGGAATACTAGACCTTGATTGATTAGGGACTTGGCTTGATTAGGGAAAGAATGAGTATGGGGTGGGCAGGTTTTGTTTCACATGAGAGTCCTCAGAACACAGGCAGCAAGATTGGTCAACACTGCTGCTTTGGAGAATCCAGGACTCCAAAGAAACTCTTGTTTCTGTGTTAGTTTTTACATTGATCAGATTGAGAAGGAAATCTTATGCAATCTATTCTATGTCTTCCTACAAAGATTTAACATTTCCTAAGGTAAATCTGAAACCCAGAGGCTCTAAAAGTATAGAAATCTTACTGTGTCCCTAAAATAAATGACTTCCCAGATACCTGCAGTCTTACCACCTCATGAGTTGTATGCCTTCATTACTGAGAGTTCACTCTTCTGGGCTTTTCCCCTTCACTGACTCATGCATGTCTGTCTCCTGTACATGCATGTGTACACATGTATGCATGTACGCACACACATGTACACACACAACTTAACCATTTCTCCATGATTTCAAGCTTCCCCTGCCTGTGATGTTATAATAACCAGATTGCTCTACATTTTTTGGAACATTTATACTTTGCACTTTTTATAATTTCAAACAAATTCTTGGCCTTTTAAAGGACAAAGTTTGTAAAAGATTGAAGTTTCCAAATAGACAAAAGGATCGGCCATATCTTTTCGCATCTTGTTGAACTTGATATAGCCTGCTGTCACTGCACTCAGATGTGGGTCCTTGTTCTGTGTCATTAGGGTGACTGCTTTCTTTGATTTTAGAGGGTCTGGGGCTACCTTGCAGAGGAGCCCATCTCTGTCCTATGCTATAGGACATGCTGTCACACAGCTGTTTCAGTTGTTCCATTTGCTGTTGTGTGAACCTAAGTTTAGGCTACAGCCTAAAGCCGGGATGTCAACAGTAGTATAAGGTTTGCAGTACCATTTAGTGAAATGTTTTGTTTTTTCAGTTAGCACCTTTGTCCAGAGTATAAAGCCTCCTTGGTGCCAAGGCTGGGAATGTGCTGAGCAAGCAGTGTGTCTCTTGCTCACATCCCATCATAATATTCAGAGTAGAATTGGTGCTTCCATGAGGGCTGAGTGCTCTAGTGACAAACTCTCCTGAGGGTGCAGGCACGAGAAAAGGTAGGGGTGTGTACTTCTCACATGTGTGTTTTCCTTACAGGAGTTTGCTATCAGCAAAAATATTCAGTTGGGTGATGAAAAGGGCTTGAAATTCCCCTCGGTTTGGGACTGGGCTCTTCAGTTCACAGCAAAGGACCGGACCCTTTTCCACAACCCCTTCTACATTGGCAGGAGCACGCCTTGCGTGCAGAATGGCTCCAGGAAGACCTTCAAGCGCACAAAGGTAAATTGCAGACAGCAGCACAGTAGCAGTAGAAAACCCATTCCCACATACCCAGTGCTATGTCGTTAGACATGGTGTCTTTACAAGTGTTAGACACAGGCACTTTGCCAGGAGGCAGCTAGTGCAGATTTTGAGAACCCTCCCTATCGCGGTTAAATAAGGATCAGGATAAACAAATAGGCCAAATAGATGTTTATTCAGGGAGAAATTACTTACAACCTAGACAGATGAACACCAGGAAATTCAATCCGATGCTCTCCTCTCTGAGTCCAGCCAGCAGGAGAGCTTTTCCCAGCTCTTTCTCTGACCTCCCTCCACAGGTCACTTCCGCCCATGGCTCCACCCCCCAATGGGCGTGGTCAGTGCCACAGAAGGACTCTCTCACTACACCTCCCTTTTTAACTGATGTAATAATATCTTAACTTTTTTCTTAGTGATCGAGGCACAGGCCCTTGAAGCTTTGTCAGCATAAGAGATGGCAGCTAGCCGCTCTAAGCCAGACTTCTTGATAGCATGCCCCTTCTTTCTAGAAATCACCTAGTGTAAAATTTTTCCTTACCCTCACAGTCTTATGAGCATGCACCAAAGCAAATGCTACTTGCATTCCTTCCACTTTCCTTCTGACATGGTGATTACCTTGGAGAGTCAACCCAGAAAGCTAGTTCAGAGAAGACCATCATAAGCCCCACAAGGGAAAGAAGGATCATGTCCTCCAATGGCAAACCCTCCCAACATCTATTAATCCTAGCGGGTTACACTATACCACTCGTCCTTTTGAAAAGTGGGAGCTCCAGTAGACTAATGCCAAGATCTGTCTTCTGTGCAGAAAAGCTACAGCTCCACATTGAGAGGAATGCCGTCGTGCCTAAAGAATGGAATCATCAGTGACCAAGAGCTGCTTCCGAGGAGAAACTCACTAATACTGAAACTGAAAACAGACTCACTGCAGCACACTGACAGCCAGAAAAGTGGAGTGGAACAGTATTTTAAAGAGTGGTTTTCCAGACCAGCCAACCTACATGGCATTATCCTGCCACGTCTCTCTGGAACACACATAAAACTGTGGAAATTGTGCTACTTCCGCTGGGTCCCTGAGGCACAGATCAACCTCGGGGGCTCCATCATGGCCTTCCACAAGCTCTCTGTGCTGGCTGATGAGGTGGACATGCTAGGCAGGATGCTGAGGCAGCATCGGAGTGGCCCTCTAGAAGCTTGCTACGCAGAGTTGGACCAGAGCAGGATGTACTTCAGAGCTACAGGTCCACACGACACCCTGAGGACACCAGAGTTTCTCTCCTCTTCTTTTCCATTTTCTCCTGTAGGAAATCTGTGCAGACGCAGCATTTTAGGGACACCATTAAGCAAATTTTTAAGTGGGGCCAAAATATGGTTATCTACTGAGACATTAACAAATGAAGAGTGAACAAAGGTATTTTCTGAACATACTGTAAGAAGTTGTACATTTCCCCCTATGAACTGAAATAGCTAATCTAGGCACTTAAAATGGTCATTTTATATGTAAGAAATTTGCACTAATATTTAAAATTCATTTAATCATGCTGCCTTCAGTTATCCTAGGGGAATGTGACTTTTGGGATTTTTGTCCTCTGTCTGGCTCATCTGGGTCATCTGCCACACACATTCCCCATTGTTACACCTGTAATCACAGTAGTGAGGTTTCTCTGCTGTGTGGATTTTGTCAACATCTATTTTCCTTCTACCTATTAAAGGTTATCTGATAGTCAGATTACAACCATAAGAAGGTGGAGAGGGAAGTTCATAAATTAGTATGTAAAGCATTTCCAGGACATCTGATAAAACTCCCAATAGGCCTCAGTTGGCATCTATATATTTTTCTCTGGTTGAACTTAGCTAATGAGGGTTTTGTGTTTTGGGGTTAGGCATTATTTTAATTCACCTCATTTAGGACCATAGATCACTGTGTTTCAAAATCACAGATTTGCTTTAGTTCCGTACACTAACTTTTAAAAATGCACTGTAACTTTAAAGCATTCATTGTAGCTAATTAAACCTAGAAGTGCCTTTGACATTGAGATAAGAGCAACAAAGTATCTAGAATAAGAAAGGGTAGTAGTCCCACTTTTTAGAGTTAGGGCATTCAGACTCCACTGCATATTGGGAATAGCTTCTTGCCAACAAGCTTTACCAATAGACAGTAATCTCCAGACCCACAATTTTGTCCTTCAGGAAGTCACCCTGCAATCTATGGGGTGCAGCCCTTACAGGCTCTTTAGGCATCAGATGCACAGCTCCAGCTGTGGCTGAGGTGCCCAATAATGGACAGGAGCATGCCACACTCTGAGCATGGGCTGCTGGGAGTGCATGATCACATCAGCTGGCATGCTGATATAGGCCAGCACTCCTGCTAAGAAATAACTGGTGGGGTTCCTGACATGGACACATGCACAGACTAGAGAAGAGGACTTCCCCAATTATTGCCATTTTAATGCACAGAGATGCTCCCCCCCCGCCCCCGCTGGTTTAGGGGACAATGGCAAGAGGGTGAGAAGCTCATCTGAAGTCCTTGTTCCAAGTCACACTAATCACCTGGCCAGCTTTACAAGGCCAAGTTCAGAAGCTCCCAAGTGTTGATGTGGGGAGGGCTTCTTTTCCCCATTTAAAGGTGGATAATTCATAGTGGACAATGGCAGTGTCTTAAATCACCACCTTGGATTTCAAAATATTTTATAGTAAAGTGCTGATTTAGTTGGTTTCTTTTCCTAAAACAGAATTTCTCCAGATAGTTTGACCTGTATATGTGCTGCATAGCCATTTCTTTTTTTACCTTTTCAAACTGTTTAATGATATTTTTGCATTTAACAGAGCAGATGTTCTTAAAGGACTCCTAAGAAGTTCAGATCTCATGGCTAACCTAATGTTTCCACCCATCTGTCACCTACAGAAAAAGGGTTCTTGTTAACTTCTACAGAAAGCATATCAGCAGTGAGGAAGCTCAGTCCCTAGCTGCACAGCAGCCCTGGGCCCTGAGACATGACGACACTCCCACTGGAACCTGACAGTAATTCCCCCATTTTCATTAAGCTATTGTGCTACTTCTATAAATTGTTCTAGATTTATTTGGGGGTTGAGAATTCATTTCTTGGTAATTTTCATCCCTTGCATTTACTTCAACTCCTTTAAGAACTTTGTTTTTGTTAACTTACAAAAAGGTCAGGTACTATTAACACTACTTTATGATGGAAATTACATATTTTTGTACAGAAATCAATTATAAATGTTTGTACATTTCCACTGGGTGGTTGTTATATCATGATTATTGTGCCACAGCTTACTGTGCATATTTGTAAAACAGCTCCAAAGTCCTAGTGTGACCTATGGTACAACTGCTTGTCACCTCTATTAGCAAAAGTGACACTGTGGTGGCAGAAGAGGTAAGCATGGCTGCATGCAGCATACCAAAGAGCTCAATGCCCCTATCTCCAAGGTCCTATGGGCAGAGCCTGTGCTGTTGGTGCCAATGCAAAGGCCGATGACACTGGACATTCTAGTGCTAACCCTAAAGGTGGGGTGTCTTACTGTTTTATGATGGGAACCAATTCTAAAACCAAAAATGCCTAACTTTATATAAGGAAAGGACATTAATTTGTACTGACAGAAGATGAAAAATATTCAACACATTTTTCAACAAGATCTTCTTGCTGTTGCAGTAACCTCAAGTACTTAAGACTTGGTTTTGAGATAAAAACCAAAACCTTTGTGCCTAAATACAACTGATGAGCTGAAATAGGATGAGCAGGTTGCCTGGATACTGCTCAACAGAAAGGATGTAAAGGGAATTCTGACTGCTAAATAAAATTTCCATTGAAACCATTTGTTGTAGTAGTCACCAGTATAGCAACTGGTGATGGGAGGCTTCTGCTCCTACCTGTACTTGCATATCCTTTATTCATCGTTCTTGAATATCATCTAAAATGGGATGGAGAAACAGCTTTCACATCAATTCAGAACTGGCTGTAGGCCACCTAGGTATCAATGAACTGTCCTAGCTGCTCTGACACTAAGGAATTCTGATTCTCTGAGTCCCTGGAGACTGGGACCCCACATTGAGTCCTGAGCCTGCTGTATAAAATCACCTCCTTCTAGGTCCCTTCTCCAACCTGAGGCTCTTTCAAGCAGTAGTAGTAAGCAGTCCTGTTACAATGTATAAAATTACCCTGATCTAGTCAATGGGGGTATTCCTAAAAGGATGTCCAAATGTGTTGGCATTGGTCTTGCCTTTGTTAATCTAGCTTCAAGTGCTTACAGATAGAGATATAAGAAGTAATGACATGGATTTATTTTATAATCCTGTTTTATTAACAAGGAGTTTTCCGAAGGCCACTCTGGCCAGAGAAGCTGGTAGCCTAACTGCAGATCTAACTTCTCAGCTCCTCCAAATCCAATCCCCCAGTCTCACCCCCAGCTCTGTAACAGACCACCCACTGTAGACTCCTCTTCCTTTCTGCCACTCATCTCCAATACATCACCCAGACCTCCTCTTCTAACCTTCCTTCCCCTTTCTCATTCCATTGTCCCAGCCCCCCAAACAAGAACAGGCACTCTCTGGGAACCCACAGGTCACTCTGGGCCAGGGAACCAGGTGGCCTAACTGCAGATCTTCACCTCTCTGCCCTGTCCTCTAAATCCAGCACCCCTATCCCATCCCTAACTCCCTAGCTAACCACCTACTGTGGCCTCTCCATCCTCTGTCCCCATCTCCAGCAGACCACACAGGAATCTTCTCCAATCTTCCTACTCATCCTATTATCCCAGCCACCAACTCCAGCAGGCATTACCTGAGAACCCTCCTACCAAGGCTGCTAGAGAAGCAAGTAGGGCAGCGAAGTAGGTAAGTGAGCTCCAGATCTTCATTCTCCATCCTCTTCTCCAAATCCAATTCCCCAGTCATCCTCAGCTCTGTAGCAAACTATCTGTTATGACTTCTCCTCACTCTCTGCCCCTATTCCTAGGGGAATAAACAGAACCTGGTGGGACACCCTGCTTTCTTCCCTTCTGTGGATCCTTAACCATCCCCTCACAGTCCATCCCCATTCCTAAATGTCAGTTCCCAACACCTACAAACACATTTTAACTGGAACTCTCAGTAGCTGCACCTAGCAAAATCCCTGAAGTTCCTACCAGGAGGCACATAATCATCACACCATCCTGAGGACCACAAAGGGCAAGAGGAACCAAGGAGCAAAACCCACTCAACCAGGACAAGACCAGATATCAGCATCTAGAATTACTGTCATCGCCAGGACTCAGATACCTAGACACCAATGTAAAAACACAGTAACAGCTAGGACAATATATATATATATATATATTATATATATATATATATATATATTATATATATATATATATATATATCTACTAGAGCCCAGAAAACTACCACAGTAGACCCTAAGAATTTAAAATAGCTGAAGAATAAGAGAAAGACCATAAAACAGCCTTTATGAATGATAGAGGTTCTTAGGAGTAAGTCTCTTCAAAAAATCTAGGAAAACACAAAGGAAATGAACAAAAACAATCCAAGACATAATTATGGAAATAGGATCAATGAAGAAAACCCAAACTGAGAGAAATCTGGAAGTGAAAAATTCAGGAAATCAAACAGGAACTTCACAGGCAACCCGTACTAACAGAAGACAAGAGATGGAAGAGAGAGTCTAAGACATTGAAATCATAAAAGAGATGGATACTTTAGTCAAAGAAAATGTTAAATCTGAAAAGACATCCCACTACAAAACACCCAGGAGACCCGGGACACTATGAATAATAGAAATAGAGGAAGGGGGAAGAAACACAGGTCAAAGACACAAAACATTTTTGACAATTCAGAAGAAAATTTCCCCATTCTAAAGGAGATGATTATCAGGGAACAAAAAGCACACAGAACACCAAATAGACTGGGCTAGAAAAGAAAATTCCCTTGGTACATAATAAAACTCTAAATTACAGAATAAAGAAAGACTATTAAAAGCTGAAAGGGAAAAAGACCAAGTAACATGTAATGGCAAACCTATTATAATTACTAACTCTAAAAGTCAAAAGGTCCCAGTCAGATATTCTACAAAAATCTAATTAGAGACCAGAGATAGCAGTCCAGACTTCTATATCCAGAAAAAAACTTTCAGTCAAAAGTGGAGAAAATAAGATATTCCATGATAAAACCAAATTTAAACAATGTCCATCTACAAACCCTACAAGACCCTAGAAAGAAAAATCCAATCTAAAAAGGTTAACTACACCCAGAAAAACACAAGGAATAAATAATCCCAGATGGAAGACACACACACACACAAACACACACCCACGCACACCACCACCACCACCACAACAACAACAACAAAATAATGGGAATCAGCAAACATTGTTCATTGATATCTCTTAATATCAATAAAAAAGACTGATAATGGAGGTGAAAACAGAATACATCCTGCTGCATTCAAGAAACATGTTAATATCAAGGATAGATAACTCAGAGTAAAAGGATGTAAAAAGATATTCCAGCAAACAGACCTAAGAAG